CACTTGATTAAACTATTTCAATAAAAATAGCAATATAATGAATTTAATAAATAAATTATTCAATTATTAACTCAGTTTGTTTATTATATGACAAATTGAATATTAATGTTTGAATACTACAATAAATTTAACAAACAAAAATAATTTATTGATTTGAAGTAACAACAAAAAAAATAAATAATAAAAATAAGACTAAAATAAAATAGTCATCGAAAAAAGTGACATTTTTATAGCAGTGATTTTGCTATCAATAATGTTTTCCCTATTGAATTAATACAGTATATACTGTATATAACATCAGACATCAATAGACATATCATATATACTGTATATAACAACAACAACAATAACAGTATAAAACTTTTTTAATAAAATATTTTTTACTTTTATATTATATCATAAATACTTAAAGATATTATAGTATACTACTGTATAGACAGTATTATTGGCACTGATATTGTGTTTTTAAGAAATGCCAATATATATATATATATATATATATATTGTATTTGAATGTATAAATTTTTATCAATACTATAGAGTGCCATATGATGTGATGATGAAAATGTATTTTCTATTATTATTATTATTATGTGTGAGTGTCTGTCCACTGGTATGTGTCCTAAATAATAAACGATTGTTGCACTGGGAGTAGAAAGTCATTGAGACAGTCAGGGTGTAGGCAAATACAATACATAAGCTATTGATATGAGTCACACATATAGAAAAATAATAATAATAATAATTAAACCAATCAATGTGCCAAAAAGCTAATTGATTGATAAATATATGATTACTTATACACTAAATCAGTATTAATATATTATATATAAATTATATATCACTTTTTATTGTTGTGCTGATATAATTCTGTATATAAAACATTAAAGTATTTTTTGGTATTAATTTATTGAATTAATATATTGGATAAAATAGTTTTTTTTGGGTGAATATACTGTAAGATTGTATTTCATATAATGACGATATCGTCATAATATCATATTATATCACAGTTTCTTTGTATTTATATTGAAGGACTGGTTAGTGAGTAAATGTATATATATATATATGAGAGAGAGAGAGAGAGAGAGAGAGAGAGAGAGAGAGAGAGAGAGAGCGAATTCGTATATTGAATGTGAGACTAAATGTCATAAATGTCAGCAATAGATATAACTTTTCTTATATTTTTTATAATAACTATCCTTTTTATAAATCTCTCTCTCTCTCTCTCTTTCACAACACACACATACATATATATAACAGACACTTTTCCATCACATTTAATGCTTTTTGGATTTGAGATTTCAATGAGAAATAAATTTTATATTATACTGTATCACATACACAGTAGTAGTTCGATATTTACAGCACTAGTCAGTTATCAACAACACTCACACACACACACACACACACACACACAAAACTACCGGCGCTCACAAGTCAAATGTCATCAAACTATCCTCTTTATATATATAATAAGTTTAAACGATGGCTCCGGGTTAACACAAATAATTGTCATAATAATCATAAATACAAAGCACACACACATAAGTATGTAGACATAGCAAACAATAAAACATATAGTATTATATTTTTATTTATATTGATATTTATTATATATCTGTGATATAACGACACATTTAATAAGGATTTATTGGCGTCGATAATAAGTCGCTAAAGTTTTATCTCCAAAAAACGGTTATTATTTTGTTGATATATATATAAATATAAATATATTTTGGGTATATATATATATACTGTATATAGTATATGTTATATAACTTTATCCTTATTATATCATTCATTTGTTATGTAATAATACATTAATAGTCAACAGGAATTTTGCTGAGTTAGTAATGTTTTGTTGTTGTTTTTATACCGGTATGCCTGTGCACAGGCATCAAACCTAACGGTGCTCTTTGTATATTAAATACTGTATATGATATTATTATATAGATTAACACATAATATTCGTAAACATTTTTTTTATATATTTAAACACCACATACATTGCAAATACTAAATTAGATTAACTCATATTAAATATATCATATATACATTAGTTTAATATATATATATATATATATATATATATATATAATTGATATGACATAAAAATCATATTATTTTGCATTAGATTTTAATCAAAATAATTTTTTCTGACAACATAACACTGACAAAGTAATATTATATATAAATTATATAATAAATACATTTTTTTTATATATATATATGTAAAGTTCATAGTGTATTTAGTTACTTATTACTGTAAATAAAACATATTTTTGATTTAATAAAGTTTTGAGAGTTTTATTTTAAAAAATCATATTTTAAGCTTATACATTTCATGTCATATTTTTTATAAAAATGAATATAATGTATAGTTTCAGTACATCAGTATATATTGTTTTTAATAAGAAAATAATTTTATATTTCAACATATTTTATTATTTTTGTCACTGATTTTATAAAGTAAAGATAATAAATATATAATAGGATAGAGAAAGTGAGTGAGTGAGTGAGTGAGTGAGAGAGAGAGAGAGAGAGAGAGAGAGAGAAAGAGAGAGAGAGAGTTTGATAGTATTAAGTGATTGAAAGATATTTTCAATTTATTTTATTTTCAATATATATTTCTTTAAAGTGATAGTTATTGAAGTAAAAGTGATTATTGAAAATGAAAAGCAGTTTTGTTTTGGTTATATAAGATATTTATTATTTTTTGTTTAAGAAATATTTTCACAAAAGATTTTGTTTTCTGTCTGAAGTTTATATGTCTTTTCAAAGTTAACATAAAAACTAAACAAAACAAAGACAACTGAAATACTACTAAATCTAATCAAATCCTAAGCCACAGATCATTGTCTTATATAATATATCTATAATACATGAAACTTATGGACTAAACAGTATAAATATATTGATAGATAAAGAATAGATAATACAATAGAGAAACATTCACTACAAAACTTTTCTTCAAACATCAGCAATAATATGCTCTCTCTCTCTCTCCTCTCTCTCTCTCTCTCTTTCTATCTATCTATCTATCTATCTATCTATCTATCTATCTATCTATCTATCTATCTATCAATATATCTATCTTTTATTCCGGTTTTACTTAGATAATGTGTATATTTATATCGTAAATCTGTAATTAAACCGTTATTATTATTATATTAAAAATATAATATAAGATTATATGTATTATATATATATTATTATATCATATAAATATATAATGCAAGACAAACATATTATCTAATTTTATATAATATATTTGATATTTATTATAAAAAAAATTAAAATAATTTTTATTTATTTTTTGGCTATAAAAATATTAAAAAATACGCTATAATAATATACAATATATACTCATTATTGGTTATATATTTAGTATATATTATTTTCAATTACTAAAAAATTCTAACAATTTATTTTTTTATCATTTTTTATTATTTAGGACTAAAAAAAAGTTTTTCATCAGTCAAAGACATATTGTTTGGGCCATTATGTGAACACAGTTAATGTCCGTCCATTACACACCATACAGTCAAACACACCTACCAGTGAACTAACTATCATTTTTAAAATAAAATAATAGACTAAAAAAAGAGAGCTCACAATTTATAATAATAATAATAATACTGATAATAATGACTATAGAGAAAGAGTGTCATTAACGGCACAACCGGTTAGACATTGGGCACTGTTATAAGCCGTATATACATTATATCTTATAGAAACAAGAGGATAGGGTGTATTAAATTTGAAAAATTATCAGTAGAAAAAAACTAACGGCTCTTTAACGGCTATCTATATAAAGTTCTCAGTGTTTTCTATTTGTGTGAACAAAACAAAAAACTATACAAAAAAAGTTATTTTATGTGTCGAAAGCACCGTACGATATGATGGACTGGACATCAAACGATAAACTGGAGGCTATTCTGTATATATATAGCCAGCACTGATAGTCTCTCTCTCTCTGAGTTTGTTGTTATTGTTTTTCCAATAGGAAAATCATATCAATTCCTATCATTCATAGTTATGGTTCAATATATTGGGCACCGACTGGGGGTGAGAAAATCGGGTGTCAAAATAACTAATGTTCCGCCAAAACGAGAGGTGCACTCAATTTGAACGCACAAGTAGTCAATGATTTTGTTTTTAAGTGTGTGAATGAAGAAAAACGATATATCGTTAATAGGATACACCAATAGATTAATATCTATACCACGTATACGTTTTGTTAGATATATATATAGATATATACAGTAAAATATCTGAATTATATAATATTGTATAATAAATATATAGTATATTATATCTCATACTGTATTTGATATACTATTCTATTTAATCATTTTTTTAAAAAAAGTTTCTTATAAGTTATATAATAATATTATTATTAATAATAATCGTAAAATCAATTTTATAGTCATATTATAACCGTTAGAAAAGTTATAATCATTTTCAAAATCAATTGGAAACCAATTGTTTTTAACGCTATATCTCTCAGTCACACACATCTAACTAACTATCTCTCTATCGCACCGGGAGTTTATCTCTTTGACAGTATATAATCGCATGGACTGCTCACTCACTCATATACTGTACACACAGACAGGCAAAAGTTGACTGACAAACTACAAGAGCTTTGTCTTAAAATTAAAGCTATTATTATTATTATTATTATTATCTCCACACACAATAATATACAGTATATATATATATATAGTAAACGGTTAAATATCAATAGAAAATAATATATATTAATATATAATAGAATTATTGATAATAACGCACAACTATTTTCTGGGGAAACGCCTAAATAAAAGTCTGAATAGATTCTGTTGTTTTTTATATACATATATATATGTTGTTTTAATATTATATAAATAAATATAATGAATGTTTGGACTTATATTTGTTATTATTAATAATAATAATAATCATCATCTCATAGACAATAATAATAACAATAATAAAACTGTTCAATAAATAGTATGAATAAGAGTGCAGTGATCGCCAACGAGAACTGTTACATCACTCAAGAGGACAGTTGTCTGTCGCCCGAATCGCAGCCATACTATTACGGCTTTATATCCCGCGAGACAGCCGAATGGCTGCTCTGGGATGAGGGCTGTATTGATGGCATGTATTTGTTGAGAAACTCCAGCAACGACTACGTACTATCACTATGTCATCAGCAAAGGTAATTCAAACTATAGATTGATATTTTAAAAATTTTAATTAAATTTGTTTATAAAAATTATAAATATTTATTAAAAATTGTTTTTTAAGTGTTTTTTCTTGTTATTTGTTTTACTATAAAAAATAATATAATTATAAGAGATTATTATTTTACTAATTTATCAATTACTATACAATAATAATAATAATTATTATTTAGTATTATAATTACTACAGTATAATTAAAAGCTCTCAATGTTAATAATATAGCTCTTGTATTAATAATAATAATAATTTTATTATAATTGATAATTAAATTATATCAATTTTACTAATGATGATAATTATTTTTTTGTGTTGTAATGTTTAGCTTATTTCCACTAATTTTAATAATTAAAACCCATTTTATTATCATTATTATTATGATCTGACAATATACTATAATATTTAGTAGTTTTATTATATATTGTTTAGTACAGTAACAATACAAATAATTATATGTCATAGTTTATAGTATTTAGTAAATATTGTGCAGCATTTTTTTTGTTACTATACAAATAATTTATATATAGTTGAGCATATACACGTATATATATATATATTTAATGAATTTTTAATTGCAACATTCATTAATTGATTAATTTATATAAATATCACCAGTATAACTAATATAAATGATGATTACTTCAATTAGTCAATTAATATATTTCATCATTAATACAATAAAAGGGTTGTATATCAATTTGTATATTAATTTTTAATATAAATTTATAGATATATATATATATATATTCGGTACAGTTGTACATATAAATTATCCAATTTAAGTAATTGTATAGGAATAGGATTAGTTATTTTGCCAAATTAATTTATAAATGATAAAACTCATATGATTAAATTTATTAATAAATTTTTAAAACAAAATTTATTTATAAGATATAATTAGATTTACTTTTAAAATTGAAAGTTAATTTATTTTTTTATTTAATTTATTTATCAAGCGTTAGATAAAATTATTACATCTATAATTAAATTATATTTTATGATATTTTCAACTAATATTTTTTTTTTAATTTTCAAATTAATTTCTATTTTTATTATAGTGTACTTCACTACCGAATTACAAAACTACGATCCGGTGAACTAATACTACAGGGTTTGCCCCAACAAAAGTTTGCCACAATTATAGCACTAATCGAATGTGTCGATGGACTGGCCTGTAAGCCTACCCGTCCCGTAAATGCATCCATTGGCCAGTGTTTGCCGCCCACGTACTGGGGACTCACTGCCGATGAGATACGCGACAAACTGTTGACTAAAGCACCCGATTGGGGATTAGCAAGGGATGAATTGGACTGTCAGATGGACGATGAGCTACATTTCCTTCCCGGTGCCTCACCAGTGGTCAAACAGTTGGTAACGGCGACCATACACGAGATGCAGCCGTGGTTTCACTATCGACTCACACGGGTTGAGGCCGAACGGCGACTGGAGCTCAGTGGCCATAAAGACGGAAAGTTTTTGTAAGTTTTATTTTAATTATAATATTATTATTAAAATTGAAATCATAATAAAAATTTATTAAACATTTATTATTTGAACTTTATTTTCTAATATTATTTGTTTTGTTTTAACAAATATAAAAATATATTATTTTCAAGTAGTGTTGATAAAGCAAAGCAATTTGTAATATGAAAAACATATCAAAAATACTAATATTTGTTTAAATCTAAAAAACATTTACAGATTCTTGATATCTTTATTTCTATACTATTAGTTTTTATATAAAATAATGTGTACACTATTTGTCACTTTTTTAACAGTCAAACAAAAAACATATCAATGCATTGTTTTAACAATTCATTGGACTTTTTTTACTTCTAAAATCACACATCTATTTGTATCATAAAGTAAAAAAAATCACATCAAAAAAGTGTTAAACAAATATATATAAGTGTTGGATATAACAGTTATATCAGAAAATCAAAAATACATTACATTTTTCAAACAGTCGATAGTAAAGTTTAGATGAAATCGTAGAAAACATTTTTAACTTAAACACAAAAGAAAAATTGTTCAAAAAAATACATTTACTTATTATCATTAAGTACAGTATATTTTTAATATATATATAATAATGTTTATATATATATAGTGTCAAAGTGTAGTATTTATTGATTTGATGAAAGTTTTAAAAGACAATAGAAAACAGTCTATATTTTTGTGTTGTAGTAAAACTAAACAAAAAAATTTCAAAACAAAACGCAAACACTTTTGAAAATTAAAAAATTTTCTGTTGTTATTTTGCTTGTTATATAAACACTACAAAAATACTGAGAAATAGAGAGAGAAAGAGAGAGAGAGAGAGAGAGAGAGAGAGAGAGAGAGAGAAGAGAGAGAGAGAGAGACTGTAAAAAGACAATCAAATCACAACTAGTGTCGCGAAACAAATATTATTTTTATTTTGTATGTAACTTAAGTTTGTTTTTTTCAAAAAAAAACTTTATTTGTAACAATGTTTGTGTTGATAGTGAATAAATCACTAGAAAAGAAACGATATTTTTTTAAACAACACACCAATCAATACTAACTATATATAAATTTTATATATTTTTCAAAAATATTCTTATATTTTTAGTAAAATTTTATTTTGAAAATTTTAAATCAATGCTAACCTTTAATGTTATATATATTGTAGTTTTTTATACCACACATTTTGAATGAGATATTATATATTTAAAAGTTAGTTGTAATAAAATTGTTATATTATAATATAATATATAAACTTTAAATATAATTTGTAATCTTATTTTGTAATTTTTAATAATTAAATTATTAGAAATATTTTATGTTAAACAAAATAAAATTTAATTTTTAACTATTTATTTATTGTATAGTAAATATTTTTTTATTATATTTAGCACACGATACATAATTTTATACATAAACAATATTTATCTCTAATTATTCATTATATTAATATATAAATAAACCTTAAATAAAAAACACATACACTTTGTCAATGTATATATATTTAGTAAACAATGTGAATAGTATTGAATAGTAATGTTTAGGATATTTTTGTTATAGAATTTCAAATAGAATTAAATGATGAAAAAGAAAATGTATTAACGAAAGTATACCCTCGAGTCCTATGGTTTATATATATATACAGACAGACAGACAAATACAAAGAGAGAGAGAGAGAGAGAGAGAGAGAGAGAGAAAGAGAGAGAGACATACGTTAGAAATCATATTCTCTTTTTTAAAGAGATAGAAAACCCCAGAATATTGTATTTCATTTTATTCTTATATTTGTTTCGTTTATATCGTTAAACACACTATTCTTTTGAATTTTTTGTCCAAATGGTAGTAAATATACTCAGTATATATATATTGTGTACATAGATCTCAATGAGAGAAAGGAGTCAATGAAAAAAATTTTTATCTGAATTTAACTCACAAAAAATATTTTATATATAGAGTATATATTTATGTAAAAGAAAAATAGGACACAAAAAATAATTATAGTATAAAGAAAAAGAGAGAGAAAGAAAGAAAGGGAGAGAGAGAGAGAGTCACTATCTATTATGTCTATTACAACATTTATATTATAAAAATATAAAAGATTATTATATCAGAAGAGAAAAACAAAAGAAAAAATCTTTAAAAACTAATAAAACTAATTTTGTATTTTATTTTTTGGCTTTAAGTTTATTATATTATAGATATAATGGTTTTTAAAATAAAAATTGTCTATAATATGTTTTACAAAATTATTTATATATTATTATTTTTTTTGTTATATAGAGTACGGGAAAGGGATGACAGTTCGTACGCCATATGCCTGTCCTATGAAAACTCAGTAAAACATTATCGCATTGATATACTATCGTCGGGTATGTTTGCCATTCAAGACGGACCAGAGTTTCAATCAATAATTGCTGTAAGTGTTGTCACAAATATTAATATACTGTACAGTACTATAAATTTGTAATTAATAACAATAGTTACTTATAATTATATTATTAGTAAAACTTTTTTATTTGTGACCACAAATTTAAACAAACTTTGACTTTTGTGTGTAACTAAATTTTATTTTTGGAGGAAATTTTATATTATAAACAATCAACAAAAATACTAACTATTTCAGTGCACACACACACACACACATACATACATAAAACTACAAATGTTTGACAAACACATTATATATATTTTTTTTTCTTTCTCTCACAAAACTACAGTATATTCCATATTGTCTACAAATTGAGGGCCCAATTAATGGTTAGAAAAAAGCAAAGTACTGTATACGGTATATATAGTATATATACTGTATATATAGTTAAATACAGTACCAGTATATATACAATATATGGAGAGATAGTTTAGTTGATGACATGTCGTGAATATGAAATAAGGGTTTTTTTATTTATATATATATATATATTATATAAACAGTAATATATGTTTTGCTTTTTTATAGTTGACTTTTAAGGTTAACCATTAAAGTTAAGCACATGAATGTACTGAAAATACTTGCTTTTTTTTATATATATAAAATAATATATATATCTTTTGTATAAATGAAAGAGAAAATCTTTGATTTGATTTTTATTTATATCATTATATAATGCGGTATACAATAAATAAAATAGAAAAAAACATACAATTTGTGTGTTTCACTATTATTATTATTATTATTATTACTATTAGTGGTAGTACTGTAAATAAGAGTATTTTGTACCGTATTTACAGTATTATTGCTACTATTAGGTACTGTAGGTCTACTGTACTGTACTGTACTGTACAATGAGTCTCTGTATACTTAACTAAATGATGTTATTTTTTAAAGAAATGATTGTAATTTTGTTTTGCTTTCCGATGTTTGTATTGTGTGTAGTGTGTCGTCCATTGCATACAAAAATAGCGGTAACATTATTATTGATAGTTATAAGTATATAGTTATAAAAGTGTGTGTTAAAAAAAATAAAATAAACTTAACATTAGTTAGTAACATATTTTTTAGTATACTTTATTTATTACAAAAAAATTAATAAATATTAATTTACTAAATAATCTATATTTTTAAAAATTACTAACTATATATATTTTTATATTTGTATAATTCAGTGATATATCTATAATCTTTTTTCTATATATTATATTTAGATATATTGAGATATATTAAGAAAATATAACGATTTTTCTACACTATTAATTGCTGTCAAAAATTAGTCACCAAATGATAAACTGATAGTTTTATGTTTGTATGTACGGTATGTGTCTGTGATTAACGACATATAAATATTGAGAGTATTTATAGTAAAACACAGCAAAAAAAAACTATTACAAGAAAATCATTTACTCTCTTAATCAAGAAATAACTCATTTATTATAATCATAAATAATTTATAATATTATAAATATAATATATATTATAAAAGTTTATGTAATTGTCTTAATCATTTGTCTTAGTTTTAATATCAATAGTACAGTATATCCCGGATTAATGATAAATTCATTCACTATATTATATTGTATGTTAAATTATAACCATTTTAATCATATGAAATAATATAATATTTTTATTAAATAATATTAATCTCAAACTCATAAATATAATTAATAAAATTATGATATTTATGATTATTTATGATTAAAAACTTTAATATAAAAATAAAATAAACTAATAAACATTATTAATAATTCTGTATGATAAATAAATATTTTTTCCTTATTATATTAATGAAAAACATTAAGATTTACTAATATCTCTTATATTTGCAAAAAATATTTAATATAATTCAATTTTAAATTTTATATATATATTAATATAAGTTAAAATCATTAAAAACATTAGTGTTTTTTTCAAGAAAAAGATATTAAATAAATTTGTTTTTTAAAAATAAATTAAAGCTGAAAAAACCAATAATATTTTAATATATAAATATATTTATTTTTATAAAGAAACATAGATTTAATACTATAAATAAGTTGATGACATAGTGTGGGGAAACGGGAGGGATAGGGATATTACAGTGTATACTATAGATATATTTCCTAATAGCAGTGATGATAACTGATATAAACTTTAGAGTTTATGGCAATATCTATATCTCCATTAGTCTTATTAAGACTTTAAATGTATTGTATTTTAGATATTTTTTCTGTTATTTTTTATAATCATTTTTTCTCTTCATTTCATTTATTGTTTGGATTTTTTTTATTTCGTTTTCTTCGCTCAGTTTTCTTATATATTACGGAAAAAAACTTTATTTTTTCAACTGAACCGTAAAACTAGTCATAAAATTTGTTATAAACTTATAGGTTATGTCATTCTATCTATAATATATCTATCTATACTGGAATATATATACTGCATATATATAGATAGAGATATATTTATAACAATATATAGCTATAAAACTAATGAAAACCATTTTTGGCTCCAATAGAGACGATAGGCTATTCATCAGACAAAATGATAAACGAATAGAGACTTTATTATTATTATACTATATATCTATAAACTATATATTCTGTATAAATATATAGTGTATTCGTTGCCTATTATAACACCGTTAGATAAGTTTGCTAACTATCCTCCCCTTTGTTGCAATTATTATGTGATAGTATATCATCGCCAGATTTTTTTTATAGTATACTATATATTTAGGTCATATATTATTAATTTAATTAAGTAGCATGTATATATTAATAATAATATTATTCATGAAAAAATCTAACTATTAATTTTATTATAATATTCTTAAAATTATTTTTAATTAATATAAATGATAATATTTTTAGTATAATATAATAGAAAATAAAAAACAATTAATACTTTCTTATTCTACAACATAAAAACTATATAATTATTTTATATAATTTTATATAAAGACTAAATTTATTACTGATAGTTTCACTGTTAGCTTTTAACAAAAATCGTGGCAAATAAGCAGCAAAATGTTGTTTTGATTTTAGTCGCACACCATTAAAGACATACTTACGACTTATGTGACTGTCTTTTACCGTTAAAAATGTATTAATAGTGAAGTAATTGTGACTAAGAGAGAGAGAGAGAGAGAGAGAGAGAGAGAGAGAGAGAGAAATAGTTGAATAGGAAATAATATGTGCCAACAAAAAGGGTTTGGATGTTAAGGTCCTGACTATTAGTGATGAGTTAAGAAATAAAGAAGAGAAAGAAAGAAAGAGAGAGAGAGAGAGAGAGAGAGAGAGAGAGGAAAGAGAGATAGAATGAGATGAGGTATTTAGTGACTGCTATAATGGATGTGCAAAATAATGACAAAAATGCCTGTCTGTTAGGGCATCTCTCTCTCATAGTTAACGACTAAAAGCTGAAACTCACTGAAAGTTTTTTTTAAAGGTTGTATTTGATTCACTTTTGCATTTAATATAATACAACACTAACAACAACAACAACAACAAAATCTTTCATTGACTTAAAGGAAAAATAATGAGAATGAAAGAGTGGGTGACTGACTGTGTAAGTGAGTGAGTGAGTGAAATAGAGAACACAATGAGAAAAAAAGACGAGACATTAACACTGAATTTAAGTGATTAATGAGTTATCAATACATTTGGCACAAAGTTTTTTTTACTTATATTATATTATATTAGAAAAATAATATGTGTGTGAAAAAAGTCTTGATGTGCCCCCAAAATGTCTAAACGATTGGTTTGAACGTCGATACCATAAAATGTATAGTAATAGTAGTAGTAGTTGTTGTTGTTGTTTTTGAAAAGTTGTTTTCAAAAGTCAGGGAACGGTAGAAGCAAATGTCTGCAAAATGATTTTATTGTATAAAAAACGGATTTCTCATTAGACGTTATCGTTTGAAAAACTCTATATAAAATGATGCAAATTTTTCTTACACTTTGTCACATAAAATAACACTAACTATAAACACAACAGTTTATACAAACAATGACTTTGTTGTTGTTGTTGTTTTTGTTGTTGTTGTTGTTGTTATAACCTAAAGAATATACTATTGTTGTATTGCATTCACAAAAAAAATCTCTCCGTATTTTTTGGGCTCAAAATTAACAAAACATATATAATATTATATATTCAAACAAAAATATACTATACTATAGTATACTACAGAATATTCTACTAAATAATACAATTCAATAGATTAACAAAACATATCATAATCAGCTGTGTATTTGTAAATTGAATTTTAGTTTTTATTATTTTCAGTTTAACTATTTTTTTAATATTGCTGTATCTTTTGATACAGTAGGAAGTATGTTGTTGTCATTGAAATTAAATTTTACTGACATTTTTAATTATCTAAATTACTCTCTTTCTCTCTTTCTTTCTCTCTCTCTCTTTCTATATATATATCTCTCTTTTAGAGTGAACTCTTTTTACTGTCAAAAAAATGTTAACGTATTTATATGTATTAAAAACTTTTTATTTCTATTACCTCTTGTTTTTGTAAGCAATGAAATAGTTATCTTCCATAGAGAATGAATGACACATTCATTAAACACTTATTTCATTCATAATTTGTGACAATTTTTATGACAAGTTTTTTTTGTACCGTAAAAATACTTATACCGTATATTTATACAGTATATACCGGTATATACTGTAATATTATGTATAAATAAAAAATGAGTTTTTTAAATAACATGTGATCTCTCTCTCTCTCTCTCTCTCTCTCTCTCTCTCTCTCTCTCTCTCTATTTCTATAAAAAAATGTCATTACATCTCTATCTAATCTCTTTTTATTTTTTATATAATAATATTTTTATATAATATCTATAATATATAATATATATGTTATATAGTTTATAGAGATATGCTGTCACACCAATAAAGTAATGCATGAATTAGTCTTTAGTTTTACTGAAACTAATTTTTTTCCATTTTTTTAATAAACAAAAATCATTTTTCTTCCACATTTACTTCAAAACGTAATCATATATTTTTTGATATGTCTAACATATATTAATTTTTGAAACTTATTTTTTCAAAAAAATAAACTAATGTATAAATGACATGTTAATTTTGTACAGCTATTTTTACAAAACTAATCCATTTTCAAAAAAATATATTTAAATATAAATATATTTTTTTATAGTTGACAAAAATTTTTGATTGATTGATAACACAATAAGTATATTGAAATTGATTTTCATTTTTTTTAAAAAAATAATCTATAAAGATATAACATGACTATCAATATTTTTTTTTAATTTCAAAATAATTGAAATTTTTCAAATGTATTAAAATTTTTATATATATATAAAAATTGATATTATATATACTATAATTTTTAAAACATTTTTTTTATCTTTCAATATATATATATAAACAGTTAATATCTCATTACACCATTTGGTCGTCGGGTCTGTACTGTGCCCTCAGCTCAGAGGTGTGTCGCCGTCCGCAAGACATCATCAAACTCTATGCACAACAAAGTAATTTGAAAATCACGCGTCACGTGCGCAGTGTGTCCATCGAAAGGGCGCGCAATGCCATCAATAGGTCGGGAAGTGGCGGATCAGGCGGTGGTGGCGGCAGTCCCGGCAGTGGTAGAGCTGGGACGCCGACCAATATTAAAATCAAAGAGTGGTTCACTACTATCAATCACAAGTGGACCAAAATCAAGAAACAAACACAACAAACATTGCATAAACATCAGCCATTGATTAATGATTCGAGCGATTACGCCGGTTAGTAGTAGTAGTAATAGTAATAGTAGCCATACATCCCTGTCCACACACACACACAAACATATATAAATAAAATATTTTAATAATAATTATAATTATGACTTAATCAAAATCTAATAACATATTTATGTCAGAGTGTGAAAACATTTTAGACTATAAAAATAATTATTTTCCAAATTAGCTGATAATATACAGTATAAACTTCATATATACTGTACTTTTATCTATAATTGATTGGATTGAATCAAAATATAAAAAAATGAATTCAAGATATTTATTATAAAAAATAAAATAAAACATTAAGTTTTTTTACTCTCAATTAAAGTTTTATACTCATAAGTCTATAATTTTGCGCTCAATTTTATCCTTAATAAATGACAACAACTAATAGTACAGTAGTAATAGTAACAAAATAAAAAAAAGTTTGTTTTTTTTGGATACAATCTTCTAATAATGCAATCAATCGCTGTCATATTGCAACTGTTTGGGTATTATGTATTACTGTATTGTACATTATATATATTGTATATTAGATATATATATATTTATACTTATATATAAAAAAGTTAAAATAAAACTTATAATTTAATCCTTGGGATTAATTGCACATTAAATTAGCAGACATTTTCACTTTAACTTTAACTGACAATATTAAGCACCAATTTTTCCAACAAATTTCATGCTTTCTCTCTCTCTCTCTCTCTCTCTCTCTCTCTCTCTTTATTTCTTTCTGTTATCCATTTGATTGAATAGAAAGATATTATTCCTTATATAAGCCAACAGTCCTATCGGTAAACGAAAAGAGACGATACAATGAAAATCCTTTCCAATTAGCAGTAGTTTTGATACCATTTTTTGTTGTGTTTGCTGTGAACAGTCATTAAGTGCTTATCAGTAAAATAGCTGTATTTTTGTATTATACACACAATTAGATAGTGAGGAGAATCAGAGTGAGAGAGAGAAAAAAGAAAGAAAGAAAGAAAGAAAGAGAGAGAGAGAGAGAGAGAGAGAGAGAGAGAGAGAGAGAGAGATTCAACTCATTATTTTCACTGATAATTATAATAAATATGCTATTTTGTAGCATTTTATTTGTAAATAATTATCAAATGTTTAAAAATATTTTAATTAATACTTTATGATAACAATATCTTTTAGCATTTTAATTATGTTAGTTGAAAATTTAGTTATTTATTATAAATTATAAAATATTGCTGTTATTAAGGTATATTAAAAATTAATTAATGTGTTTGAACAAATTAAATAAATTTTAAACCCATTTTCAGTAAAATCGTATTATACAATACTTATGGTGTGTTGTAAATGTACTAAAAAAAGTTGTCATTTATTTTATAAATATATGTTTTTGAGTAATGCTTTTAATAACCCGTTCATATTATTAAACTAATGTATGTGTGTGTGTGTGTGTGTGTGTGTGTGTGTGTGTGTGTGTGTCTTTGAGTGAGGAGACACACATAAAACTATAATAAATCAAATATATAACACTTTTATTATTGATGAAACCTATCCTATAATATATATAAATCAATGCTTCATAATGTTTAACACTATGAAAATATCATTAAATTAATAATAGCCATCACATAACACATTATATACAGTATATACAAATAAAGTATAAAATATAGCCTAACATAAATTTATACAGTATATATATATATATTAATAATTTTAATGAACTTGCACACACTGTACATACATATACACACATTTTTATTTCCTATATATTGAAACGCGTGTATCTATTGTTTCCTTATATTTATTTATATATCATTATATATAACTTATATATATATTGTATTTATTTAGAGCACATCTCAGGTAATATATCATCGCTTTTGACACTCAGGCGTCATAACCATCACCAATGCTGTCATAATGGCAGTCATTGCCAGACAACTGGCAACACCGGCATAACTACTGCACAGTCAAGCAATCGGTTCGGGCGTTCACACGAAGAGCCAGCGCTCGGGTCGGGCAACATATTTGGCTTAACTAATGATGCCTTTAGGCCGACAGATACGCGGCACACCCTAAATGCGAACAACCATAATAAAAGTCAAAACCATAATAACAATTCATGTAATAATAATAATGCGTCCAACGATTCATTGCTCACACCATCGACACAACAGTCCTCTTCACGTATGGTCAGGAGTTCATCCATTGATACCATTCATGTATGTACTGTATGTGTCGTTAGCAATGATTTTATTTTATTTTTACATAAAAATCCCAATAATAATAATAATAATAATATAGAAAAATTTAATTAAGCAACTTTTCTAACATTTAGTTAACTTTATATTAAACTATTAAAATATTTTTTTTTCTCTTTTTGAATATATTTTAGGAATATGCTATGCATATATACAAAATAAATATAAAATTTAAAAAATAAAATTTATTTATGGTTTCATTAAATTCATTCTATATTTCATGCTATAATATAATAATAATATTTGTTTTATTAAATATATTAAATTGTATTTACAATTAATATAATCAAAATAAAATTATAATTGCATTCATGTATTTATAATTAGTTTTATAACTTATTTTTTTAAGTAATCAATATAGATTTTAAAATTAGTTTGTAATTAAAGAGTAATTAAGAAAATTTATATATAAATTGAGTTATTAATATAGTCTATAATTTAAATATAAATACATACATAAATAAAAGTATTAGTAAAAATATTATTTAAAAAATATAACATACAAATTTTTAACATGTGTAAAACATAATAATAATTTAAATAGCCAAAAATAAAATGTAATTATCAAAGTAATTTAAAAATATAATAGTTTACTCACATATTTAGATATAAAAGAGATTTTTTTAAATCGTAAAACATTGAAATGGCATTCATTTGATGCAAATTATGGTTAGGGAGATGAAGTGCTCTTTAGGGACAAACCAAACACAATAGTTTTAGTACTGTATATACTGTATATACTGTATATATATAATATATAGATATATAACACTACTTACATTTACAGTAAAATATAACATTATATGAATTGAATAGTGGTTTGTATACTGTAGTAGAAAAAAAGTGGAAACCCCAAAAAAAAATCTTCAAAAAATAAGATTTATACTATATATTAATGTAAATTTACAATACTATACAGTATTATATAGTTTTGTGGTATTGAAATACAATGTTTAACATATTATTATTATATAATAGTTGAGAGTTTTTACAGTAAAACTTTTATTACTAATACTATTACATTTATATAGTATTTTTTTTAATATATCACTGTTCATAACAATAATGAGTTTAATGAACATTTTTTTTAAAAAGTTATATTATTAGTGTATTTTTATCACAGATACTAACACTAATTATTGTTTTTAATATTTAATAAAATAATAATAATAATATTGTTCATATAGAAAATATGAGAAAATTTTATTTTAAAAATTTAAACTAACTTTAATTTGTTTATTTAATATAATTATTAAAATAGAATAAATATAAATAAAATATGTCAGCATTTTATATAATAATAATAATATTTATAATGAATAATAATAAATGCAAAATTAAAAATTAATTTTTTATGTAAAAGATTAATCTATTGTATTATTCAGTAGTTTATAAGCCTATGTAATGTATGTATAAAAATATTGAGAGAAATTCTCGTATTTTCTCTCTAAAAATTTAATTGTTTTCTGCAAATCATTTGAGACATAAAAAAATGGTAACACATTTTCTCTTAACAAAAATAAAATTAAAAAATTAGTAGTAGTTTTTGATTGCTATTTAATGACACTATTAAAAGCAAAGCAATGAAAACTAAAACACCAAAAAAAATATTTTGGGAGAGAATACAAATTGTGTCAAAATATGTTACAAAAATACTGTAAAGTATATTCTGGTATTATATTTATATATAATATAGTAAAGTGTTTGCGATTTCTAGTGAAACATATTTTTGCCATTTTTTCAACAAAAAAAATTTGACAATTTATTGATATATAATATGTGCCATAATATATTTTTTATATAAATACAGTAAATTGCATTTTAAAAGACATGGATTTTATTGTGATAATATTTAAATATCATATACACAAAATTAAAATCTCATTTAATTTGCATTTATTATCTATAATAATAAATTATTAGCTAATTAATATATATTGATATAGATATAGCATTTTTATAATATCAATAATTACACAATGTATATAGGCTATTTTAATAGCCATGCTTAAGTTTAAATATATTTTTATATTATTAATTAGCATTATGATTAAATTTAAATACTGATAACAAAATATCAAATTATATATTTAGTTGTTAAGTAAATATAAGATTATTTTGTTTTTTATAAAACTAAGCAATGTGGTGTATGTGTGTGTCTGTATGTGTAATCCATCATGATATAATTGAAAACCAATTTAACGTCCAAACCATTGTATATATATATATATAGTATGACCTATTGGTCCATCAAAGTCACATACAAACTGCTACCTTAAAAAAAGTTAAATCCCGGTTCACTAACACACACACACACATGATAAACAAAACAGTGATTACGTGTTATACTGTTTTACTATTTATATATCGTATAGTCAAACATCTAATTAAAAAGCGATTAGTCTTTTTTTTGTCTCTTTTCAAAACATACACACAAATACACACTGTTTAGCTATAGCTTCTCATATATTTAATATAATCGGTCGTACACTTCATTAGAGACAGAAAGAGATAGTTGACTGAAACTGTTAACTGAAATTTAACTGAAAAAAAACTAGAGATTAATTAACATAAAAAGGATATATTTGTTGATTATTTAACATTTTACTTTATATGGGGTACTATTAGTATACAGTATTACATTTCAGTGTTTGCTATAAATCCTAATAATAATAATAATAATAATATATAAAACTAATGAATACCATCAAAAAAACAAAAAATTTGGTTTTTTATGTTTACATTTTAAATTGATTCACAAATTATATATACAAAAACAATAGTATAATAAAAAAACTCTCAATACAATGTAAATAAAACTTAAACATTATTTGATGAAAAAAACTACTATTTTTAATATTATTGACAGTCCTTTTCCATGTATGTAAACACAGCCATAATATGTTATTTTTTTAAGCAAAATGTTTAAATAGGATAAATCACATTGATTTTTATTATTGCTTAATGTTTATATAAATACAGTACAGTACTACAGTATTTATAAATGTATACAATATTTATATATATACCGGTATAATGATATAGAAATATATAATATACATAATATACTATAATTTTATTTTGTTCACTATATATGCAAACTTTAAATATCTATAATTTCTATTTATATAATATACTATATTTTTTTGTATATAATAAAATATTGCAAATATATAAATAATATATGTAACGTTTATACATAACATGGAAACCACAAAAAAATTATTGTATATTTTATTGCCCAGTCGTACTACTCTACAATTATTATAGAGTTAGAGTAATAATTTATTTTATTTTATATTTTTGTTATCATTTATAATTTAATATTTGATGATTTATTATCCACTGGTTTGTATAATGTGGACCTAACTTAACTATCCATTTCTTATATATATATATATATTTAAATACATATTTATTTTATATATCATTTTATATATAATATATATTTAACTTTACAGTTGCATGATATGTATGATAATAATTCACTTAAAAAATATATAATATAAGCTTAATTTTTTCTATATATTTATCATAAATATCCCTATTATTTATTTATTTTTGCATTTTATAATAATTTATTTTTTGTATTTTTGATTACTCCTTGAAATTAGGCCTTAATCAGCGATCCTATAGAATCGGTACGTCGTCTCCATTTACGGCAGCATACGTTGACACCGCCGGTACCGGCGCCCCGAAAATCCATACGATTGACTAATCAAACCATTGCCAAACTCTATGCCAATCAGGACGTAGTTCAGAGGACACATTCACTGGACGACAGTCACAAATGCGGGTGCAATTGCAAGGACTGGTTGGTACAGTTTGATGACAACCTATTGATGAGCAGTGACGATGACTTGTATGGTATTGTCAAACAGCTACCACTGCATCATCAACAACAACAACATCATATTGGTAACGTCATTATAGACGACTGTGCAAATAATAATAATAATAATAATAGACATCAATCTCTCGATTTATTAACTGGTAATGAAAGAAAATCTTCAGTTATATCCGCCGCACCTAAAGATCAATCGCAGCAATTGAGCCAACCGTCCACTACTACTACCAGCGCTGCCGAAGATTTGGCGCAAATATTTACTAATCAATCAATTAGTTGTGATTTATTTGATTCAAATGCCGGCGCAAAGTGTCTGTCATTAGTCACTGGAAATGTGCCACAAATCAGCACCAATACAACTACTACTACTAATATTACTGCTCAATCTAACAGTGCTAGTGATGGCACAGGAGATAGTATTAGTAGTAGTAGTAGTAAAAGTAATACCATCACCACTGATGGTGTAATCAATGATAAAAGTATTGCTATTATTAATAATAAGTTCAATAATAATAATAATGTCTGTAATAACTTAGCCAACGATAGCCAACAACAACAACAGCAGCGCAACAACAATACAGTTAATAGTCAGTCAAATAGCGATTCACGTAATGACTCTAACGATGATGCGATCATCACTGGCTCATCACTAACAGTAAATGCCGGCACCGGTAGTAGTAGTACTGCCAACACCACTACTTCTACTACTACTAGTACAGCCACCAACAACAGTACATCAGCTACCGTTCCTCCAATTATCGATCTACTTAAAGAGTTTGATGTGTGCTTTAATAATAATAATATCAATAATAATGGCACCACTAATGGCCAAAATGATGACTTAATACATGAGGTATTCATAGCACATACACACTATTATATAACTATTAATAATATTAATATGATAATAATGTTAAGCCATAGTTTATATCATCAATTTTTTTTGAACGAAAATAAAAATTTGCCTTTAAAAATTTTTAAATTTAAATAAATTACATTTTTAGCATACTTAGCAATATTTTTTATTTAACAAATGCATAATAGGAACAAAATATTATGTTATATATATAATATAAGTACATATTATATACAGAATATTCTTGAGGCATAGATACACACAAACATAGTAGAAATACATACAAAAAAATGTATAAAAATATAAATTATTAATCTCATAGTTTAATTTATGTATTATTTTATTTTTGCTGAGATAAGTAGTACATGAAAAAGTCTCTGCATTTTTCTAGCAATAAATCAAATTCAATATAAATTTATATAATATTTAATATTATGATATTTTTTGTTTTTTTTTGAAAGTAAGACTCCTTTTCCAATGATTTATTAATTTTCCTCAAGAAATAAGTGCCGCACGAAAATTATTTTCATTATTTTCTATACCTCTCTCTCTCTCTCTCTCTCTCTCTCTCTCTCTCTCTCTCTCTCTCTCTCTCTTGTCATTTATTTATATATAATAATAATTCAAAGTAAAATCATATAATTTTTAAGACATTTATAATATATTTTTTAAAAATTATATATATATATTGAAAATTAGGTGTTTAACTATAACTTTTGCTTGAATAAAAGTTAGTTTTTACAGTTAAAAACTCATATATAATATATTGTATTTCATAATACATTAAAAGATTTATAGTCTAGGATTGAGTTTAAACACAACAAATGAAATGTCATTTTTCATTATATACATTAACAACACTGTACTATACAAACACTGACACATGAAATACATATTTATTTTTTGACAAAAATAATTGAAAGTATAAAAAATGTTTTAAAAATTATTATTTTTATGAGTAGCAGATTTAAAAATTATTTTAATAATTATTTTATAATTCGTATTTAATGTATTTAAATTATAAGAAAAACTCAATTAAAATGTCACATTTTATTATTGATAATTATATGATAAAAAAATTTGTAAATATAAATTCATAATTAATAAGTTAAAATTATAGCTAGAATTATTAGTTACAATAATTCATATATTATCATACATTTTTTTATATTAAATTTTTACAATTTGATAATTATAAATAAACTTTACTTTAATTAAACATTATTTTTTATAAATTTTTAGGTAAATACTAGCAGTTCACACCATTACCAACAACAACAAATGAGCATGGTTAATAGTATGGTAAATGGTCTGGATTATAAAACAACAACTGGTATTAATAATAATAATAATAAATCTGAAAACGGATCGGTCTATGAATACGATGCCATCAAATTGGAAAAAGAGTGTATCGACCAAAAGGCGTCCATCGGTGTGGCCGATCTCGACAACACAGATAACAGTGCCCGAGTCGAGCTCAAGGAGTATGACTTAAGTATGTGTGTCTGTCTGTACTCTAGTTTTATCATATATATACTATGTATTGATATAAGCCATAAACTTAGTCAATCCGTTTTTGTTGTTATTATTATTATCGCTGTCATAAGCACTATATGACTGACTCAAACTATATGGGATTATATTGTTTGACACACTTTTATTGTTGCATTATTTTCAGTATATGCTATAAAAAAAACTATACACTATTATACAGCCAATGTATACCACTGTAATGTACTGTATATTGTGAATCAATTGTTATCTAAGATTTCACATAATATGTCTTATCATCAAACGTAGTGATTGTCTGATCTGATTATAGTTTTAAGATCTATATACTGTATATACCTATTGTATACATGTATTATATATATACTGTACTGTCTATAGTTAGATAGGTTTGATAGGAATCGACAGCTTAATGCAGAGTCAATTGTGTTGCAAATAAATAAATGCTGTGCTTTACTAATATATATTGATATAACTTAATTTGATATTATTGTAAGTACAGTATTATAATAAAAATATAAAAAAGTATTATTTATTGGTTTTAATGATATAAATAAATTGAAATTTTTTAGTTTTTTTGTATACAGTATTTATATTATTATTATTATTATTATTATACTAAAAGCAAATTGTTTTATTGTCATGCAAAATAAAAATGAATATATTTTATTTAGTTTTTATTCATTTATTTATTTATATATATATATATATATATATATTTGATAAAATGATCATGATAATTTTTATATAATAAATTAATTCATAAATTATCATTGAGAGTGATATTTGGGTTAAATAAGAAAGAAAATTTATTGGTAGACAACTAAACTGGACATTAAGTTTATTAAAAAAATATATAAAATAAAGAAATTTTTTGGTCCTATCAATAAATTAACTCTCTTTTCATGTTTTAGTACAATATATATACTTATTATTAGCAAGCATAAATAAAGTAAAACATAATTTTTTTATGGCACACTCAACCATTTATTTTAGGCGACAACAACAACAACAATATATAACAATAGTAACTTAAATAACAACAATAAAATTTTATTAACAAACCACTTTATTTTTATTAACGTTGATATATATATATATATATATATATATATATATATATATACAGTAACGTTATAAAGTAAATCAAATTAACGTTTGGCTATTTTATTAAACACACAATTAAGCATGCTTATTTATATAAATTTATATTGTATGAACCCACTTGTAATATACAAACATGTATATACAAATAAACAAAATGTTATCCCATAAAATAGACACACATAGAGACAAAAAATAACAATTAACAATATTTTACGCACCATAAACATTGTGTGTATGGTGGGTGTGTGAATATATATATATATATGTATGTGTGTGTGTGTGTGTGTGTTCAATGTATTAAATATCTTAAACAATAATTTAGTATGCTAACATAAATAACCGGATGAAATGTTGTGCAAAATACTAGATAACAACAACAATAATAGTAAAATTGTTGCAATACTTAGACACCAATAAATTTTACACCAACAACAAAAATATATATATTATATAAATAGTAATATCAACAACAACTATAAACCCATAACAATAATATTTATAATTGTGTGATAAAATATAATGTTTAAGTATTGTAGTTTTTTGTGTTGGTGGGTGTTGTTGTGTAACAACAATAATAATAAATTTATTTAATGTATATTTTTTATATATATTTTTGTTGTTATTTTTTTCTGTGGGAACAGTTTGTTTGGACGAGGAGCCCGAGGAGGTGCACAAATCATTGTCCAAATACAGACGCGGACCCCTTTGTTTTGATGCTAAGTGTATAACATTGAAACGGCGCATTGGTAACGGCTATTTCGGTGACGTCTACTTGGCTACCATACCGTCCACTTCCAGTTCAGCTATTATTCAATTGGCCGTAAAGATGCTCAAAGCGCACGCATCCATACGTCAAAAGGTAATACCATTACTCTTGAAATACCCATATCTTGTCAGTACATTGTTATGGTATGATCCGGGTATTCATTTTACTATATTTTTTTCATGTTTTTTGTTGTTGTTGTCAATGCAATGGTTTAAATAATGCAATTTATGATTTTTTTTCATTGAATAAATGTTGCATATGCACTATAAAATTTATATTGAAATTAATGTGAAAATGTATAGATAAAAAAGTAAACATTTAAAGTTAGTAATTTAAGATTAAATCCTAATAATTATTATTAATTTTTTTAAATATTCATAATTATTACATTTTTTAATTTATTATAATTAAAAATGTTTAACTTAATATATTAGTTTCTCAACAACAAAAAAATCATTCTATACTAATGCATACTACAGTATATTTTGTTTAAAACAAAACTAATTAATAAAATTACATAAATCCAATTAAAGTCATTTATTTATACATGGATTAATAATATATTTATATATATATAATTTAATATATAGTAGTACTGTATGTAATTATATCTATACAAATCAAAACATTTTTTTGTGCAAAAAATTTTAACATTTAATACAACACTTTAAGCTAGAATTTATTCTACAGTTATTCTATTTTAATAATATTAATAGCTATACAATAACGCCATCTATAGTTATTCTATAAATATATTGTAATTTTATTAAATTTTGTTATTAAGTATTTAGTTTTAGATATCGTATTATTTTATATTTAAAAAAAATACTTATACTAACAATGAAACGATTTTATCTGATGCGCCCTCTTTTTTGACCAAGGTATATTATAAATTATAGATAATTTAATCTAATTTATTATTAGTATAAAAATTAGCACCTAATGGGTGGGTTTAAGGGGGCTAAGAGGGGGGTAAATATTATATTAAATAATAATATATTTAAAACTTAAAGTGATTTTTTTAGCAATATCTGTGTAGCGGAATGTTAGAGTCTATGCATTATAAGCTGTAGAACCAGAGTTCGAGTACTGCTTTTGCAATTATTATTTTTTTTTTTGATTTTATTTTTTAATTTTTTAAAATATAAACATAATTAATAACATAATTAACTTATTATTATATAATTTTTGCATCTAAAACATTTTTAGTACAATAATGTATGTTAATATAATTTACACATAAAATAATTAACTTGTTTTCAAATTACCAAATTCGTATATTTATGTTTTTAAATGCAGTTTATTAGTTATTAGTTATTAGCATGTTATTAGTTATGTTTTTATTTTAAAAAATAAAAAAATCAAATCAAAAAAAAAATAATAGCAAAAGTAGTACTCGAACTCTGGTTCTATAGCTTATAATGCATAGACTCTAAGATTCATCCAAACAGATATTGCTAAAAATGTTACTTACATTTTAAATATATTATTATCTAAATCTTTAACCCCCCCCCCTCTTAGCCCCCCTTAAACCCACCCATTAGGTGCTAATTTGTATACTAATAATAAATCAAATATATTATTTATAATTTATAATATACCTTGGTCAAAAAGAGGGCGCATCTGATAAAAACTTTGTTAGTATATTATTATTAATGTTTTATTAATAATTTATTAATTTATTAAATATAGATTACTTTGAAAGCAATATTGATTTTATTTTAGTTTTTTGAATAATTTAAATTTTAATAACTTTTAGCTTTAGTTTTCAAACTTTTTTTTATGTAATTTTAGTCATTAGCAGTAAATAATATTTTTAAAAATGTTTGACAATTACCAATCAAATTATAGGCCGAAATCCTGCGCGAGGCTCAAGTGATGTCCAAACTGGACCACAAACATATTGTACGGCTAATCGGCGTCTGTTCGGGCGAACCATTCATGTTGGTCATGGAGTTGGCACCGTTGGGTCCACTAAATCGTTATCTGTGCGAATCGGGTGATCACATGACTGACGATGGTCTTCTAAAGCTGATGTTACAGGTGGCACAGGCTATGCGTTATTTGGAGGACAAATGTTTTGTGCACCGGGATCTGGCCGCCCGAAATGTATTGCTAGTGACCGAACGGTTTGCCAAAGTCAGCGACTTCGGTATGTCACGGGCACTGTCCATCGGTAAGGACTACTATAAGGCTCGAAGTGCATCAAAATGGCCGCTCAAATGGTACGCACCCGAGTGTATCTACTATTACAAGTTTAGCTCAAAGTCCGACGTCTGGAGCTATGGCGTAACCCTTTGGGAAGTCATGTCAAGGGGTGATATGCCATATCAGGTATAGGAGTTATAAATGTTTTTTTATTCATTATATATAAATAAAATGTTTTTGTTTTTTCTGGTATCGTAGGGTATGGACGGACAGGACATACTGAGAATGTTTAAAGAAAATAGACGACTGTCCAAACCAGACAAATGTCCAGTTATTATCTATCAGCTAATGTGGAACTGTTGGCATTTTAGGTGCTGTCAAATGCTGTAAATTTTGTATCAAAAATTTTGAAATTTATAATTTTTTTATTGTTTTTTTTAATAGACCTGAGGATCGTTTAAATTTTAGCCAAATTTGCGACCAATTAACCAGATATTTGGCTAATCGACAAAAACAACAACAACAATAATAATAATAATAATAATAATAATAATAATAACAATAACAATAATAATATTGCTAAATTTAGCTATAGCATAGCTATGTAATTGTTTATTATTATTATCAACGATGCTCCCAAATGGTTAATGGGGATCATAAAAAATCAACAAGACTAAAATTTAAAAATTGTGTTTTAAAATATAAAGTTTGTTAAGCATAAATGATATATTATGATATTAAAAGTAATATTATCTATAATAATAAATTGTTACAGTATGTACAGCATCAGCATTATAGTAAAACATTATATAAGCATCATATATATAACATTTTAAAAAAATTTAATTCACATAAAACTGTCACCAAAATTTATATTAAAAAAATACCTGTGATAACACAATATTAATAATTACTATTATTACTATAATGTTACTATTAAAATATAAGAATTATAAATTTTTGAAAAAAACTAAAAATTGTTTCAACTCAAAAATGTAATTAAATAAATAAATTTTGAAAAATAGTAATAATATAAAACAGAAAAAAATACTGTATATATGGTTTGGTTGTTTGTTTAATTTGATGAACTGTATCATAATTATATATCTGTATATAATGAATGTAATGTACATTATGTAAATATATTTAATATATTGATATATATTGTTGAATAATATTCTTGTAATTTTAACATACAGTACATATACTACCGATTTAGATATTAAATAATAAAAACGTGTTTAAATTAAATATATATATTTGTATATATCATTACTTTATTATTATAATATACAATTAACTTATTGTTATGTTACATTACTATAATTTATTTTTAAATTTATATATTATTATCTATCATTAAGAAAATATTATATTAGAAATGTAAGTAAATTACTAGAAATAGTATTATATAATATCTCTCTCAACAACAATAAACAAACAAAACATCTGTACTTTTCATTAATTGGTTTAATTAATTTAAATTGCTTTTCATATGCTTTTCCGCTTCCTTTGCGGCCTTGAGGTCGGCCTCAGCCTCCCTCTGCTCGATACCATAGTTGCCTACACTTGCAAACTCAAACTGACCACTCGATTCTGGTATCGCCTCCGACATGTCACCCGAAACCCGTTTGCGGTATAGTTCGTAGTCTCGTTTGGGAAAACCATTTTCAAAACGCTCGATACTGTTGCCCATATCGCCGGCTGGACGTACGCGCCCGGAGGCCAGTGCTTACGAAATAATTAAAAAAAACAAATAATTTTTAATCATTTAGTTAAACAGACAAAACAATCACTGGTCGGACATACAAATTATTAGACCAAAGATGACGGATAGAAACAAATAGTTTATATTCATTATGTTTTTCTTTCATAAGCTATTTATTTAATTAAATTTTGATTACTATTTGATTACTATTACCATTTAAATTTAATTATTACTATTGGTATTCACATTCACATATGGTTTGTTGTATTCACGATTTTTTTTGTGCATTTTTCTGTCGTCACTCATTTCGTATACTTTTTATCAACTATAGGGACAGCCATTAAGCGCATTACACTATTTTCATGCTTCTGAACTACCAGTTTAACCAATACTTCGGGTATAGTTAAAGATCGTCCAAATTTGACGACAAAAATAAAAAATACTGTCAGCAAAACAGGTATTTTATAAAAATACATTATTATATGCTACAGGTGCCCGCATCCAGACATTTACATAGCAAACAGTCACTATAGACTAATGACCCGGTGCTAAGTAAAGTACAATAAAAAAAAGTTTCCTTTTTTTAAAAAAGCTATAACAATGCAATCCTTATATAGTTATACAGTGGATGCACCGGTATTTCATAAAAGGCTAATCAAATTAGTCTATAATTAGTATTATTAATTATATCCTTTAAACTAAATACTTATTTGAGGGGTATTTTCTTTTTTTAAAAAATGACAATTTGTGTGGTAGTGGTGACAATAATAATAAATTATTACCAAAACATTAACAACAAAATTGTTTTATTTTAAATAATTTACATAAAAATATTATATTAGTGTTTACGCTTCGGCAGATTAAGCGGATCCACGTCGTCCTCCATGGGAGCAGTCTTTATGTGTTTGATTTTGGATATCGACACTCCTGGCGAGTGATCGTCAAACAAGTCGACGGGTTTTTCAGCCCGTTCAATGTCCTCATCGTCCCAACCGGCGTATGACCGAATATTATCTACCGGTTCTGGTGGCCGATAGACATATATGGGAAAACCATTTGGATAGCCGTCGGGCAATGGTTCGTCAATATAATCATCAATTGAACAGTTGATTGGCTTAGTAGTCAACTGTATAGCAATGATTGCGACTATAATTTCTGTAAAAAACATCATCAATGCCATTGAGGACATACATGTTTGCACATATGGTTATTAAAATTATTAATAATTATAAACAGAGACTACAAAGACTATAAGAAAAAAAATTAAATTTTCAAACATTTACAACAACAAAAATTATTATTAAAAATATTATTATTAAATTACATTTAAAAAAAAAATATTATATTGAATCATGATAATTGTTGTAATATAATTAACCATGCTTATTCTTATATTTCTTCAATTGATTTTTGGGTACTCTGACCATAACTGTGCCATTTGTCATATAGACATTGTGTTTGTCTTCTCCGACACTGCGGAAGTGTAGCAACGATCCGATCCCATTGGTTACCGCGTAAATAGTACCGGTAAATTTATTCCAGACATTGCCTATGGTTGAGCCAACCCATCCAAAAAATCCATTTCCTCCGGTTGGCCGGTTTGTATTCTGCTGCGGATGACTAACCGGATCCACATCGTCCTCCATTGCTTCAGTTTTTTCGTGTTTTATTTCCGATAGCGGCACTCCCGGCGAGTCGTCATTAGACGAATCGACTGGTTGTTCGGCCCGTGAGATGTCTTCTTTATCCCAACCGGCGTACGACCGAACATGACCTAACTGTTCGGGTGGCCGATAATAGTCATATAGTGGAACTCCGTTTGGATAGCTATCAGGTAATGGTTCGTCTATATAATCATCAATTGAGCCGTTAATTGGCGTAATAGTGGACTGTATGGCAATGATTGTCACTATAATTGCTTTAAAAACATCATCAATACTATGGATGACATACATGTTCACAAATATGGTTTTCATTTTTAAACATTTTATATAAATAATAATAATAATAATAAAATATTATGTAATACTATAACTTAGAAATATATAAAATAAATTTTGTTATTATCATTTATTTTACATTATATTTTTAGTAGAAAATGATATTTATAGTGACTATATTCTTATAATTATTTTAGCAGTTATAAATAATTAATAATTAAATTAAAGTTATTTAAATAAATAATTATTAAATTTTTTTTGTAGTAAGTAATTTTAAGTTTACTTTATCTTAATATGTTTTTGAAATTTTTAATTTATAAATCAGATACTCGTAAATATACATTGATTCAGATGATACATAATGAAATGATATAGCAGTATCACTACAACAATTGATACCCTAAAAAATAACAAAATAAACATAATAAAAAATACTAATCATATAATTGTATAATTAATTTTACATTTGTATAATTATAAGCTGCGTATTTGTCCACCAGATTTTCCGTACGATAAATACTTTTATGTGGATTTAAAAACTTGTCAATTGGGTAATGAAAAAATCGTGGACGTCTTAAATGATCGCGTCCGTCACCTTCAACTATGCCATGATTTTCAAGACAACTTATTGGTAAAAAGTAATTATTTTTTAACATAAATAATTATATAAACTTTGATGTAAATTATTAAATATGATTACACAGCATAATAGAGGTCATCGGGTCCTCTCTGGATGTTTGTATCGCAATATTTTTTTCTCAATTTAAATGAATCGACTAAACGTTTTACAGTTTCGGCACTAAATATCTAATTATAATAGTTAGTTGTAATTGTAATTTATAGTATAGGTATTTTACAATTAATTAATAAAAAAACATAATTTTAATTATAAAAACATAAAAATTATTGACAACATACTATTCCTGGACCTGAAAAAAATTAGTTATAAAAAATAATTAATTAAACTCAAATTTTTCATGATTTTCAAAAATATTGATTCAAAATTATTATTTATTAAAATATAACCTCCAGTAAAAAATTTAACAAAAGGTTTCCCTGGATTATTGAATGGTTCGCCAAACCAAATAGGATCGGTTGAATTGTATTGATCTAACAGTGACCACAAATTTTCCATCACTACATAGGTATCGTCATCTGCTTTGAGCAGCCAATCAAACTGTCCACTAAACCGACGATTTGCTTCAACAATACCCTGACTATTTTTGCACCATAAATGTTCATGGTCATCACTGGAACAGTTAGATTTTATGATAGGCAACTTGACATCAGTTTCAGAGCTCACAAACTGTATAATATTACATCTCTGTCCCCAAGTGTCCAGTATTGCCAATGCATTGGTTTTGTGATGTTTAGGTGTTGTTGTTATCAAACATAATATTTTCGGTTTAATTTTTATTAAATTATTATTTTTATTAAATTTTAAGTTACTATTGAAATTTTTCAATGTTTTTACAATAAAATTATTATTAGTGTTTAATATGTAGGTAAATGTCGTCACAAATAATATCAACAATAATAAACAAAAAACTTTTTGACTTTTAGAGCATTTTGAATTAATTTTATTATTTAAAATGCTTTGTTTGTTTACTAACATTTCAATATAAATAACTTAGAAAACTTAATAAATGTAAATATAATTTTTAAACTTAATTACTATTTTTTAACATTTTTATGTTTAAATCTACAAAGATAATATAAAGTAATATTAAGGTATATTAAAAAAAAATTACTGCTAAATAATTGTTATTAATTACAATTTCATTTTACATTGGCTCTGGTATATGACCTAACTATGTATGTAAAATGAAGTTGCAGTTAATTGTTATTATAAGACAATTATTTATTAGTAAATATTTTAATATAATACTATTTATATATAATTTTTTTTATATATTTTAAATTATTAATTACTATTGATTTTAAATTAATAAAAACATATGTAAAAATTATGTAAAATTATAATTTAAGTAATAAATTATCTTTTAGTATTTATCAGATTTTTTTTCATTAAAATTATTTGTTGCATTTTTAATATTTTTATACCATTAAAAATATTATTTTTTTATAAATTATCATAACAATATTATATTATATTATGTTTAAATAAATTATTAATGCAAAAAAATGTTATTATAAAAATTAATTCATTCATTTTATGAAATAATGCTAAGTAATAATATAACAATTATTTTTAGCAGTAAATATTTTAATATATTATTTATGTATATTTAATTAATATAAAAGTAAAATAATAATCTTAAAGTGAGTATCAGTGCCCGAAAATCGGACTATTTTGCTCTCAACGCTAATACAATTGTTATCATATATTACTAATCATAACATATAAATATTTGAAACCTTTTGATTAGGTTCTGGTTAGGCGGCGATCAACAGTTCAATAGTATTGATGATAAACTCCTAGCAATCATAAATGTGCCCTTTTTTTGACGAATAACTATAAAATTAATTAATAAAAAAAACAATTGCCTCAAAAAAAAATTGTTAAACCTTTACCGGTCGCGAACTCGCCGTCCGAATGATTAAGTTTGTACTGAGCCGATGGCCAAACTGCTATCGGTATTGTATTACCGCCGACCACTTTGACACTTACATGTATTGCTGTAACTCATCCTTCATATACTGGTGCACAGTTATTTAAACGCAATGAGGTTGGCCTCCAGTGTCTTATTGTTGAAAACATCATATAATTGTTTTATTATAATATTTTACATATTTATTGTTTGGCATAGATTTTTTATAACTGAGTCATTTAATGCCGATTTAGATTAGTTGATATGGGTTTGTCATATTAAGACAGATATCTTAATTAGTAATTAAATTAATAATATTGCATTAAATAAATTATTTATATTAATGAATATGTTATTAAAGTTAGATAATTAAGAAATATAAGCTATTAATTAATATATTAACATTAATTAATTAATAAATAAATTTAGAAGAAATTTTCTAGCATTGTCAACTGGTTTTATTATGTTTTTGAAATTTTTAATTTATAAATCAGATACTCGTAAATATACATTGATTCAGATGATACATAATGAAATGATATAGCAGTATCACTACAACAATTGATACCCTAGAAATAAAAAACAAAACAAAAATAAATAAAATAATAATTTTTGATTTAAAAAAAACTACTAATCATTATATATTTTTAATTTTACATTTGTATAATTATAAACGGCGTACTCGTTCAACATTTTTGCCGTACGATAAATATTTTTATGTG